AATATTAATCCTGTAGAAAGGTATAAGCAGCATCAGTAATACAACTTGCCTAGTATCTGACTGTAAATTATGACAATATCTTATGAATAGGAGAATGATGACTACAATTATGATAATAAATGTTAAGACACAGCACGAGTAAGATGAGAGCCTCCAACAAACCTGCCAGATTTGTTTCCATCATGAAAGGATGGCTTATTTCCCTCCCAAGTTACTGCAGCTGCCAAGAGCCTCTGAATGACCAACTAACGGGGCTGAGAGTAGTGGCTTTGGGATACAGGACAGAGACACAAGTTTCTGGGATGCAAACATCCTCCCATACACAGGCATCCCAACGAATTGTCCCACCTCTGTCTTTTGTAAGTCACAACTAGGAATAAACCACTGTCACTGAGATTAAAGACTCCTTTCCTCTGGTCTCTCCACTATGAAATTACCTCAGCGCCACATTGCATTTTATGCCAAAACCTATTTTATTTTTCAAAACTGAGACACATGTAAGCACATTACTGCTCCTGCATTCCTTGTGCTGAAGGCAGCCTAGCAACTCCTACTGCTCTATGGGATACAGTAACACACAGTCCTGGTGCACATTCATCCTAATCATTTAGTGGTGAAGCATTCCACTTGCAGATGGTTCTCATCTAACTCCTATTTAAGCAACGATAAAGCTCCCTCCCTCCCCCTTTATGCCAAAATGGGGTAAAGCTCTCACCCTCTGCACATCCAAGGGGAAAAAAAAAAGGAATAGAAAAATAAGAAAATAAAAAGAAAAGAAAGAAAGAAAAAGAAGAAAAAGAAAAAGATAAAGAAAAAGAAAAAGAAAAAAAAGAAAAAAAGAAAAAAAACATAAATTATTTTATTCTCTTTCTTTTGGGCAGCCCTCATTGTCCAGTAGTTTTCAGTGGTCACTGGAGATTTGCAGCCTGCACCTTGTCAACTGGAAAAACAAGGTTATGTTCATAAGCACCTTTTCCCACCATGCAAAATTTTGCAGGCCCTTTCTTGCTTATTCCACAGAATCATAAAATCATATAATTATTTGGATTTGAAGAGACCTTGCAGATTATTTAGTTCCAGTCCCCTGCCATGGACAGAATTCAGTGGCACTGAGTATTTTTTTAAACTAAAACTGGCCTCATTTTGTTAATTTAAAAGTTAAATTTAATATTTTATCACAGTTTTATATTGTTTTATAATGTTTTGCTTTTCCTATTACCCCATCATCTGACCCCTCACCCTGCTTTTTTCAAGTTTTTTTTCCCCCTGGAGAAATTAGTGAAAAACACAGAAAATAATTTTGAAGTAACAGAACACCACACTGAGGTAATTGGTGAAACATCTGAAATTTCAGTGAAATTTCAGAGCTGGAAGCAGTCCTTTGAACACCTGTGTTGTATATATTTTTTACTGAAAAATAAATTGGATTTAGTTTGACTAGAGAGTTTTTAATCACTGATGTGTATTTCCACATGTCAATATTCTACAAGAAAAAAAAATGTTTTCTTTTAAAATATAAGAATATAAGAATGTAAGAATATTATATAATATTTTTTGTAATATTTATAATATTTTATATTATAATATTATTTTATAATAGCATATGTTACCAATGCCATTCCCACATACCTGTCTTTTCAGGTTCACAACAGAATTGTCATGCTAGATTCACTGTCTTTGCCACACAAAATTAATACAAATTTACTAGTATAGATGTAAAACACAGCTGACCCAGACTCCTTATTTACTTTGTTCTAACAGATTGAAGAGGACCTTAAATTGTGAATAAGCAAATTTCATTTTCTTCCTTTTTACACAGGCAAAATTAGATAAGACTTCATTTAAAAGAATTAGTATAAATAGTTCCTTTTTCTCATCTCATGCTTACTATTCAAAATCATGTTCTACACATTTTTCTTTTCTAAAAGCCTGTTCACATTTGGATAATAAAAGTTCACTAAATAATTATCTCCCATCTTGATTTCTCAATGACTGTAATTTGTGCTGAATAACAAATGACTAATTTCCTTAAGCCTGTTGCCACTGACTGGCTGACAAGATGGTAATTATTATTGCTAATGCAGTGTATTAAGAAGGTAACAACATTGAAAGGCATAAACACAATGTACAGGCTGTCTAGCACCTGGTCAAGAAGTAACCTCTGTCCTGAAATAAATTACATTAAAAAAAAAAAAAAAAAAAGAGGGGGTGCAGGGGAAGATAAAGAATAACATATTTGGCTTTAAAAGTTCCTGAATATTTTAGGAGGTGGGGATTCCCATGATGATCCTTTCAGACACATTTGAAGGCTACCATAGCTCATCACAAGAAAAGAAGCATTTGTGTTTTGTATCAAAGTACCACAGAAGTACAAATGGGAGTAAAGCCAAGGCCACCTACGGTATCAGGTTCCTTGTTAGGGTATCTGCCAGTTGATGAGAAGGTGGCTACTGCTGAAGCTATGGGATGAGGTGTAGTATGCTGAGCAAAGCTAAATGGGGATGAGCAGCTCTACTCTACTGTCGTCAGTATGGATTTCAGGGCAAGAGAAATCTGACTGATAAAAATAAATGAAAATAAAAAGGTACTGCTAAATCCATCATTTCAGGCAGGTATGTGAATGAGACCAAAGAGAGATAGATACAGGGACCTGGGTTTGCACCTGACCAGCTGGCAGTCCCTAAGGATTACTGGCTTTTATGTCAAAATGCAGAATAAATTCTGCTGCATTGGGTGGGGTCATGATGCAAATACCCTCACTGAACATACTTCTCTCAATGACATCCCAGAGAGATGATTTCTATGGCTGAAGACAAGTCACTTCCAACACTTGCACAAAAATATTAAATTTCTTTCTTCTCATTATCACTGAGTGTCTATTTCTCTGTGGTTTGTAAAAGGCTTTGCAAGTAACTCTCCAGCATTTTATTTCTCATCAAATGCTACTTTAGGAAGAGAAGAAATAATTCATTGAAAAGGCAAATTTCAGTGTAAAGACAGATGTTTCTTTTCACTTTTTATTTTATTTTTTGACCACTCAGCAAAATATTTAAAAAAGGACAGTGTTAGGGACGGAAACAGTTATGAACTATTTTCAAAACTTGTGGCAAGAAAAGACCAGGAATGCCTAACAGATAGGCATATTTTTTCCAACTTGGTAATTTGTTTGAGATGAATACTGAGTGACTGGACTGACGTTCCTGTGCCTCCAAACCTGAATAGAGAGCTCTCTGACTGTGGTAAAGAGCCATCACAGAGCTGACACTGGTTATGCTACACACCACAGTTTTTACAGTAAATAGTAAGAGATATTAGGGAACTTTTCCTCCAAAAGGAGTGACTTTCCTCCTTCTAAATCTGGGTGTTAATCCAAATTTATCCAAATCCAATTTGCCACTGCCAGTTTTAAATACAGCAGATCTTTGTACCCGGGCTTGAAAGCCCTACCCTTGAGAAAGCCATGGCCAAATCAGCAGCAAGTTACTCAGCAGCAGAAGTGACAGTTCTCATTCCCAGGTCAAATACAAAATTTCTTCATTGGTCCCTTCAGGGTGGGCTGGAGAAGCATCCATTGCCCAGCCACCCTCATCCCATATCACAGCTTTGCTCTATTGGGAGAGTGCAGGCACAAGTCCCATCCTCAGGAAAGGAGAGGTAGATATAGATGTATGTTTAGCAATATTTGAAATGCATACCCCAGCTGATTACATTAAACTGTAGTGGGAAATTGGACGGGCTCCCATCACCTAGAAAGACAGAATACATTCAGATTTTTAACAAATCAAATATTTTTCACTGCAGTAGGAGATATGCTACATGGGAAATAACATACAATGCAGTTCCTTTGCAATTTGACTCTTCTAAACTATTATGCTCACTAGAAAAAGAGGTTTTCATATCTCCCAAGCCATTCAGTATTCCTGCAGAGCTCCATGTCTATCTTTTAGAATAATTTGGGTTGGAACAGACCTTTGAGATAATCACAATTTTCTATGTTTGAAACTAGGGCAAATTGTTAAGACAAATATCCATCCCTGTGTTCACTGAAAAGTTATTATCTATGAAGTTTTACAGGTGGATGTGCTAGATCAACTTCTGACACATGAAACTTGTGCAATGAAATACTGGATGTGTTAGATGGCAGCTCACAGCTGTAGTTTTCTTCTATTTCTCACCATTTCATAATGTGAAGCAGAATTGACTAGGTTCCAGACTTACAACTTTACATCAGTATATTGCTAATTATTGAAGCTCATGTTGCATACAAGCTGATGGCACATTTTAAAAGTGTATTTTTAAAAATGTGGCTTAACTAAAATGGAATAGTTCTTCTTCTAAAGGAGTTTGAGAAAAAAAAAGAACTGTGATATGTTCGTACCTTTTCATATTGAATCTAAAGTTATTCATGCTGTCACTCTGAAACACACACTACCTTCTCATATGCTCTGTGCATATTTTAAGAAGGCATCTAATGGAAAAAACTGTGCAATGAAGACCTCAAAAACTGTGTCGCTGGTAAGGAATTATACAATAACTCTTGTGACACAATTCCTGTTAATTATATCACTTTTTAGCAACACAAGATTTAGTCTGTACTTTCCCAAGAAATAGAATTTCATTGCCTAGTATCATATATTGTAAATTATCTCCACACAGAAGGTGAGAAAGGTGAGTATAAACCCCCTGTTGAGATTTCTGGATTATTTCATGGCATTTAAAATTCAATGAGTTTGCATTTTCTTTAGATCATGTTGTAGGATTTGTAATTTTCTCTTCTTCCCCCCCCCCCATCCACCCTCCCCCCTTCCCTTGCATTCCCCCTTTGTCCTGCGTTTCCTTCTCACTCTCCCTCCCCCCGCAGTCCCTTGTCCTGACCCTGTGTTCCCTTATCACTCCCCCTCACCATGCAGTCCGGTCCCTGTCCCCCGCCCCCCCACCTTTCCCCTCACCACGCGGGCCATCCCTGCCCCCCCCCTCCCCCCTCCCCCCCCCCGCTTTCCCATCGCTGTCCCCGGGGTTTCCCTGCTGCTGTTCCTGTGTCCCCTACACGGGGTATAACCGACCCCCGCTCAGTGTCCCGGGGGTCTCAGGAACACGCTTCTACAATAAATACATGTTTGCACCCGAGCCCCGTGTCGCCATTTCGTCTGTTCCCGCACGAACTGAGCCTCGCAGAGCCGAGGGGAAAGCGGCTGCTGCCTCTCCCCTCCTCCTGCCGTGCTGCCCGCAGGCGCCTGCCTGGAGCTGATCTCGCACGGCAACAAATGGTAGCAGGCAATGGCTATTTCCATCGATTTGTGAAAGGGGGGAGAGAGAAAGGAACTCTGCCGCTGCAAGAGCTCTGCAAACGCTAAGAGGAGTTAACGTGCTGGGCGGAAAACAAACTCGAAGCTCTGGGACCCTCTTCCATCCTCACCGGCATGCTCTCTAACCCGCCCGGGAACAGCCGCGCTGCAGGGGCAGCCGGACTGCAGGGGCCAGGAGCCACGTGGACTTACCCGAGGACAAAGAGGACAGTTTGGCAGTGGCTCGATTGACTGAGCTCAAAGAGTGGCCCATCAGGGGACGGCATTTGAACGGGGACCAGAGGTTGATAGTGGCCGAACCCAGGGTTTCAAGGGCAAACTCTGGTTAGCAGGAACACCCAGGCTTTTGGGAGAAGCCAAACTGCGAAAGAATATGTTCTCAGTTCAGCGCGATTTTCCACCACCGAGGAGAGGGATAGAGATTTCACTGCCAGAGCCCGGAAGGTAAGTTGAGTCAGAGCAGGGTGGGACCCTGGCGGGCGGCTGGGCTACCAATTTTTCTTTTGAGTTTTAACCACTGTCCGCATCCAGACGGGGGCTGTAGGCTTGCATGTCCCTGGCGGCCAGGAGGCTTTTTCTTTTCCGAGGAGGATGCAACCTCGCTCAGTCTTTTTGGGGTAACTCATGCTGGAAAGCTCCTTCTCTTTCTTGGAAAGCTGCCTTTTCTACCCTCTCCTCCCTACTTTGAGCTATGGGGGCAGGGGGGGTTGAAAGGACACCAATAGGACAGAATTGTAAATGGCGACACGTCAGCTTTGGGAGAATTGTTAACATCTTAAGAGAGGCCCTCCACATCCACGCATTTCGTCGGCTTCCAGCCGCGTCGGGCCCCTCTCCTGTAGATTTTCCCCTCGGCTTCTGCGAAGCTCCCCCTTCCCTTTTCCCCACAGACCTCCCCAAACCTTCTCCCTTGGGGATGGCAGCGGCCAAGCCGCCCCAAGCGCCTTGCTGGACACTGTTATCCTCCCCTAGGGGTGGCATTGGCCGTGCCTTCCCGGGCGAGATGCAGTGTACCTGGTACCCCCTCCCAAGATGGCGCTGGCCACGCTACAGGGACCCCATTTTCCTGCCTTGATCCTTCTCTTCAGCCCATGTTTTCCCGCCAGCCCCATCCATCCCCCAACGGCCCTGCACCATCCTGCAGTGGTCCAGCCCCTATTGGGGGGGAGGTGAGGTTGGATTAATCCCTCAGTCCTTCTTCTGGCTCCCCCTCTGATGGGAGGGATTGCCAGAGGGGCCCCTCCGTTAGAGGACTTCCCTTTGTAAGAGAGCTTTCCCCTTTGCTGGGGGGGTGGGGGGGGGCCTTCAAAGGGAGTGGAGCTGGAAACCCAGACCAGAGCTCCACTATTTTCCTTCCCCTCAAGCAGTGGCGCCCAGGTTCACCCCTATCCCATTCCCTAAATATACCTTGCCCAAAGTTCCCTTATTTCAATACAAGTTTTCCCATTGCTTGTGATAATTTGGAAATAACTTTTTGGATTGAGTTATATCTTATAGAAGGAAAGATCATCCTCTCTAATTACTGCCCACAATGCTATGCCAACTTCGCAATCAAATAATCAAATTGGAGAAACCACATCGCTGTTCGCTGCCTGCTTCTGCTCTGCTAGAATTTGGAAACCACAAGCATCGCGTCATGAATCCTGCTTTCATCCTCAATACAGAATGTATTTATGTACCCTTTATCTTAAATTGTAATGTGGAAAAGATTTTTGCCCCATTCATTGTAACTATGATTGGTGTATCACTTTCTGATGTCTCGAATTTGTAATGTTGCTAATTTGTTTTTACCTCAGAACTCCCTTTCCTTTATGTAAATTCAAAAGATTGAACTGTAGGATTTGTAATTTTCTCTTCTTTCCCCCATCCCCCCTTCCCGCGCGTTCCCCCTTTGCCCTGCGTCCTCTTCTCACTCCCCTTGCCCCGCGGATCCTTGTTCCGACCTTGCGTTCCCTTATCACTCCCCCTCACCATGCAGTCCGGTCCCTGTCCCCCGCCCCCCCACCTTTCCCATCACTGTCCCCGGGGTTTCCCTGCCCCTGTCCCCTGCCTCCCGTCCCATTGGCCATGGCTGAGGTTCCCCCCCCGCCCCGGCACGGGGTAGAACCGACCCCCGCTCAGTGCCCCGGGGTCTCGGGAACACGCTTCTACAATAAACACGTGTTTGCACCCGAGCCCCATGTCGCCATTTTGTCTGTTCCCGCGCTAGAAGTGAGCCTCGCAGAGCCAAAGGGGAAAAGCGGCTGCCGCCCTCTCCTTCCTCCCGCCGTGCCTGCAGGCGCCCACCCGGAGCCGGTCTCGCACGGCAACATCATGTCTTGTTCAGCCATGGTGCCTACTAACAGTAACCTGTTCCCTAAATTAAAGAGAAGCATGGCAACAAGTGTGGGTAAGTTTTGTGGGGGTAACAAAACTACAGCATCACAGCACGTCTTTGTCTTGATGCAGGCTTTGCACAATATCCCTTACAGATGCATCTAACCTCAGTGCAATCCAATAGGACCACATGGGATTCCTGTGTATTACTTGGAAAGACTTAAATAATTTTCCTCCAAATAATAAGTCAGGAAAAAGAATATCTCACTAAGAATGAAAATTTCAGAAATCTGGAAAAATATTTCATCTTTATGAACCATCATTGCGTTTTAATCTCTTTTTCCCAAACTAGACACTTTCAGCAAGGATCATGTGAGGTGTTAAGCAGTCGACCATTCACTTCCTTTAGGATATGTGTACCCAAGACATTGGAAGGCTCTCTTCTGCTTTAGTACAAAGTCCTAAGTCAGACTAAATTACTAAAATTACTGAATTACTATAAAGTGTTTCCACTTTATATTTCCAAATATGAATGCTTAACATGTAGAGTGAACATACAAGAGAATTTTCTTCTGTTAAGATCAGAAACAATTTTGTAATTGATTGCCATAGAATCTTACCTTGGATATTTAAAGATGCAAGTAATACAGGTCCAAGCAACCTCACTAGGAATTCAGTGCTACAGAAAATCAGTTCATATAACATACTACCATATAGCATGTTTTTATTTTAGCAGCTAATTTCCTGTATTCTGAAATTTAATGACATTTAATTTAATTTCTTGATCTATTAATAAAGTTTTGTATCAGCAGATGCAGAATAAGCTGACTCAATAAAAATCTTATGTCTGACCAAATAATACATTTTCTAAGAATGAAACCCCTTCCAGCCCAGAGACATAAAGCCATGTGAGAAAGCATGCTTCCTCCCCCAAAGAGGTGAAGATGATGCATCTAGACATGTGATAAAGGATGAGTCTAGTAAGCAGAGGAGAGAAAAAGCTGCATTATCATGTTTTTATCTATTTCTTGCATTTATTTATTGATGATTGGTTTGAACTCTGAAAATTTTATGTTGAAAATTACATATAATAAAAAAGCTCAGAGAAAACTGTACTAAAAACCACTTTCCATTATGACTTGATAGTGTCATAAAGCCTCATGCTGGCTACATATCATGATTCCAGTGAAGGCAAAAAAGTAATTCTGGCCCACCCAGCACAGATTTTTTCCCCCACTTTCTGTGTCCAGGGTATAAACCTGCTCTTCAGTCTGTCTTCACTTTGGGCCACAGCTGGTTCCTAATTGGTCTGAATTTTGAAGGGCTGTTCAGATGGGCTCCAGCCCCTCCTGCCACTTGCACAGCCTTCACTGCTGGCCATCATCTCATCCTGTGTCCTGACAGTGTTGTTGAATTATGGTCTTTTGATTTGAAAAAGTCCTCAAGGGAAACTCTTACCTTGAAAACTATAGTAGATACATGGTTTACAGGCATTGCTATTTATGGCTTATACACATTCAGTTATTTATTTTTATGTTTTATAATCCTGAATATTGATCAAAAAAATGCTTCTTAAGAGATCTAGTTCAGCTACTTGAGCTTTAGTTAAAACTTTATTGCAGCTGCAACACTTTTTAGTTTTGGAAACAGAATGAAAAGTGATTTTTACTCCTTTGTACATGTACAGGTAAGCATACTTGTACTGCAAATATCTATGCAAAGTAAATAAAGCTAAGAAATTACAAAAGTACTATTAAATTTTTCTGGTCATTTTAATCACACCAAGTCCTTAAATAGACTTATATTAATAGCTTTATACATATAAGCAAAATTAAGAGGTTTTGCTTGGTTCAGGAATAGGATTGCAAAATCCCCAGTTATTTATTTTGATAGCAAACTAGTAAAAAAAAAAAAGTTTAAAAAGCTTCCTTAAAAAACTTAACATCAGAACCTAACCTAAACTACCACATACAACTCTTTTTCTTTCCAATAACAAGATTTGTTTGTTCCATTTTATTTTCAGTGAAAGCTGCCTTGGTAGACAATTGGCTGTTGATGGCTGGTGGAAGATTCTGGTTTGGTTGGGAAGCTAGGTTTTACTGAAAACATATCCAGATGAAAAGATTCTGATGAGGGCTCTTTGGACAAATTAACATGAATTTTGATATCATGATCTCTAATAGACAATAACAAGGCAGGGATTTTTAGACACTTTTTAATAAAAAGAAATTGTTCTGGTCACAGCAAGTGCTCACTCTGATCTGTATGTTTCCTCTTAATGACAATAATTCTCTGCTGTCTGTGGTATTATCTGTTGTTTTTCTCCTGTTGTCTCTCCCTGATGTATGTATGTATGTGTGTATGTAAACACATACATAAATATCTGCAATACATGTACAGAATTCAAATAAAAATTGTCTCCTGAGAGAACTGGAATTTAAATGGAGCTTAAATGTAAAGCAGTCTTGCAAAACTGTCGTGGATTTACCATTCAAGACACAATTATTGCTCATCACCCCTGTCAGAGTGATAATGATGAGGGTATACAATTTAGAAGGGAAAATGGTGGGGAAGCACGAGCTGACTAACATATATTTCTAAAGAAATAAATGCGTCCTAAAGCAGATGGAAATAGTTGTGGGAAAATTGATATAAGTGATATAAATATGGTTGGTGAAGATTTGATTCTGTAAATACAAAGAAGATATAAATTTCTGGAAAGCACATTCCTTACATTTAATATATTGGATGTAGACTATTGATGCTTTCCAAATACACACTGCCAAATGCACAAAGAGCAAAGCTTAGTCAAGGTTCATTCTAAGGTCATATACTCAGTGCAACCATCAGTCTGGACAACCTCTCAGTAATCTCCACATACTTCCAGACAAGATCTGTGATCCTTTGTGTCCTGATTACAGCGTGCAACAATTAATTTGTTTTAAACAGGAATTTAAACAGTCTTGTAAAGTTTATATGAGGGTCATAAAATGGTTCTTGGGATGTATTGATGAGGGCTGTTTGGAATTCCTAAACCCTAAATCTTGCTACAGCAAAGCAAAAGAGCAGAATGATGGAAGTAATCGCAAACTCCACAGTGCAAAATCATGAAATAAAATGTTTGGACTGAGCACTAAAATGATGCATCCTTAGATGGTTTCATTTTTAGAGACACCATCTCTCTGTCCCTGTGTAAGGAGGCCATGAAGAACTGGCACTGCAGAAAGCATGCTGCTTGCTGGAGGCTGGAAAGAGCAATGCTGGATTAAGAATGTGGGAAGGAACGCAGGTAAGGCAGACAGATAAGACAGGCCAGCCAGGCAGGCCGGTGGTAAAGAAGGCGGGAAGGAAGGCAGGAAGGCAGGAAGGCAGGAAGGAAGGAAGGAAGGAACAGAGGGAGGGAGGGAGGGAGGGAGGGAGGGGAGGTTATAACAATCAGATGAACATGTCCTCCACACAAGTTTGATAACCCAGATGACAGAGGAACACTGTTTGGGTTTTTGGTAGGTTTTTGGAAGCTGCATGTTCCAGGACCAGTGGTTTTCAGGATCTGGAGGACAGGCAGTTGGTTGAATGGGGATGGTAAGTGTTAAAAATAGGTTAGAAATGGCTGTCAAATGGTTGATAATTGTTAAGCATGTACTGTTTGGTTATGGTAAAAGGGATTTAAAGGGTAGTTATAAGAAATACGGTACTCTACCCACCATAATACACCTAAGTAAAGTGTACCACCCCCCAGCAAAACGAGCCAGCCTGGACAGAACTGTAATGGGCCAATCAAATGCCTTAAACCTTCATGCAAATGAAGTATCCAAAAAGAAACCAATCCAGACAGACAAAAAACGAGGATAAAAAGCGGCACCTGACGCACTGAATTTGTGCCACTCTACCTGGAACGTCGGGGACACCGCTGCACAAGAAAACCCAGCGCCGGCACCACAGCATCCTCGATGGGTACGAGCTCAGCTTGCAGCCCCCCTTGCTTTTGGCCTTTCTTTTTATTATAATAAATGCTGAAATCACTTTTAGTACTGGGAGTGTAGTCCAATTTTTAACAGTGAGAATGATGGGAAAGGCAGGAGGCCAGTAGACAACACGAGTGGGACTTGAATTCAGATGAAGAGGATCTTCATCATGGACTCCAAACCAAACATTACTAAGTATGGAAGAGGATGTGGTTTCAAGACTCCAGTCATATTATTCTGCTCAAAAGCCCAGTTATGTCAATCACCCTCAAGACTAATAACATTTTAATAGTAATAATTTTATTTTTCCTTTCTTGATCAGTGAAATTATTCCAGACAGCTGTTTCCTGAAAAGCTGGCCTACTGACCTACTGATACATCTCTTCTTATTAAAAAAAACCAAAACAACAAAACCAACCAAAAGCCAAAGGAACAGAATAGAATAGATGTAATCTGAAATGCTTCATTTCAGCAAGAGGAGATTTTACAGCTATTGAAATACTAACCTTGAAAATCATGACTTATGCATGATAATGGAAATTCTGACAAGACCCATTCAAAATCATTATTGTGGAAGAAAAGTATTTTTAATCTGTTTTTTTATCAAGTAACAGCAAAGGTCTGATTCCCATACCTTGAAAAAGGGCAGTGAAATTGATGCTTTTTGAAGGCTGACCTAGAATAGAGCCTCAAGGGAGTTAAAGAATAAAGTAGGGATTAAAAGGTCTCAGTGGATATACCTTAGAAAGTACAAGAGCTCAGCCAGGGCTACACCCAAGATGAACCCAAAATGGTCACAAAATGGACCACTGGTCACAAGGTCTCTCACTTTTGTAAGTTCTGGTCCATTAGCATCTTGGAGTTAATTGTCCAATTATAGCTTTAGGTTATGAAGTCCCATCCTTCTTGTCTTTCTCTCTTCAGTGCATGTTGTTTGTGCTCTTGGGCCT